ATTAACATACTTTTATTATTTTTTTGTATTTTAGTTTGGTTTTTATTTTTTTTCTGTTTCGGGTTTTTTGTTTTTTTTTTTTTTTTTTTTTTTGACCTGCAGCATGTGGTGATGTTTGCTTAATCCATGGGAAACTCACATGCCCATACATGATGTGATATGTTTTTTCTCCAAAATAATGCAAACCATAGTTTTGCACTGGGCTGTATTTTTTACTGCATCCTCTAGTCCATTTCTGCTGCACAGCTAAGCAGGTATGTTTGGTATTTCTGTTCTTTTGGCGTTTTTTTCCTCCCCCCCATTCCAGTTAAAAAAAAAAAAGGCAAAAAAGCTAACAAAAAACCCAAAAACAACCCACCAGAAAAGACATAAATAATTCAGAACACATGCTTTATGTCAACTGTTTGACTGTTACTATTTTATCTCTATAAACAGGGCAGAGGCAAACTCCATCCAAACAAGGAAGGGGAGGAAGATGCATTGCAAAATTATGGCTGGGTCACGTGAGTGGAGAATACAGGCACAGAAAGTTTTTGACTGGAAGGCCCAGCTCAGAAATGTGTTGTCTGCATTTTAGTGCTTCTGCATCGTGAGTTGCTCAGTGCATTTACAGTAAGTTGTGCGCACTTTGGCTGCATCTGACTTGTTGTATGTGTACCATCAGTATTCATCCATGGCTTTGAGTGTCCAGGCTTCCAGATGTTCAGAAATCCCACACAAATGTGCTGTAACAAGAGACTCCATTGGAGGGTGCTAAACTTCTTGACATTCCCTAGGAACTCAGCCCCTTAGAAAATACGAAGTTTGGGTTACTTTGTAAGGGGGAAGGCAAGTCTGAGCTCCTGAAGTCAGATGGAAGAGCTGTGTTGAATCAAAAAAGGTGCTGGGCTAGACCCCTAACAGATCTCGTCTTCCATGCAGATGTGGCAGTTTATTTGCTTTTCCATCTTGTGGGTGATTCTCTGCTGAGAGAATTCCTGAGAGTTGCTTTAATTTTCAGCACACCTTATAGCCCATGCCAAAGACTTAATCTCTTTATAAGGGGATGTTCCTTCACACACCATTTACTGTGGTTCATCATTGTTGAGAGAGTCTGTCCCTGTCCTTTGTAGCTGCTTGATTTGTTTTAGTAGCTTGATGAGGTAAAATTAGAATTACACCCATCCCTATTTTACTATTGTGATAATAAATGTCACCATTACTTCTCTACCGCACAAGTTCTGGTATGCACTGCAAAGCTAAAGATAGTGCAACAAACTAGATAGCTTCTTAGTCTGTCATGTCCACAGTGTAGAACATCACAGGCCAGTTCAGTCTTTCAAAAGACCCATTCCTGAGAATTATTTATCAGACCTTTTTAAAAAACATGTATGAAGGACATGCCACAGCATTGCTGTGAATATCCTGCCCCAGTGCCTCATTTCTCTGCAATTAGATTTCCCTGATGTGCAACATAGTTGTCTTTGATGAAAATCTTGTTCCTTCCTCAGTGCCCACGGAGGCAATCGGTTAACAACCTTTTATGTATAAAGGTTGGTACATAACATCTATACAGAGATGCTTCTGCTATGGCTATGAAGAACCAGAATTCTGGGGGCCTTTCTCTGCCACATATTGCCCATCTGACCTCAGACAAGTCTGTTAATCTCTGTATTTTGCTACCTCAAAGGGCTGCTATGAGGGTAAATTCACTGTTGTTTCCAGGGGTGTTCAGATACTGCACTGACAGGGGCTACTTAGGTGAATAGAGAGAGAGAGCAGACATACATTTATTAGTCTGGTAAAGGACTGATATTTAACTCAACAATGCTCCCAAACAAATGTCAAAGACTATATTATCAGCATGTCTCTTATCTCTGGAATTTTGTTTTGTGGTGTGTTACTTTACTTGTTGGTTTGTGGTTTGTTTGCAGCTTCCTGGAAAGGAGAACTTTAAAAACATGAACAGAAAACGCCTGGTAAAATTTGTAACCAGCTCTGACTGTCTGTGGTATGACAGCCAACAAATATCACCTGCTGATGATTTACAGATTCCTGGGAGATGTGGTGATGAGTCTCAAAGAACTGGAACAAGAACAACTCACCCAATAGACTTCTCGGGAAACAGTGTAATGTATCCACCCACTTCATGCTCTCCTAATTTAGGACATATGTAGTGTGTAGTGATGAACTGGCCAAGGGGTTATATTGCTGTGAATCTCATTCCCCACCTTACAAAACACCCTTGATTGACCTCTTCTTTCATAAAAGCTCAGCCTGGGGTTTCCAGTCCACCTCTTAGGAAAGAGACAGATTCCACCAGCCATTTGCAAATGCATTGTTCCAGAGAGAAAAATGCAATGTTTTATTGTTTTTATTTCATTGGGCAGCCTTTTCAAGTTCTGTAACCCACTTTTGCTTCCTTTTAAACTGTGACCGGTATTTATTTATCTATCCTTTTTAAACACAATAATTTAATTAAGAAACTAATCAGCAGGGTTGAAATGATCTTTGAACTACACCCCTATCACTGCGGGAAATTTATGAATGCATTATAGAAGACAAAAAAAGATTCTATTACCTAAAAGCCTTGTACTAAAAGGATTTGGCATCTGAAACGTAAGACTTGAAATTCTGCACTAAATTTATAATGCAGAGATGTGAACATTATTTTTAGAGTCTGAAAGGTATTCCAGCTGAATCTGACAAGTTTGTCTGTATTGTTTATTTAAAATAAAACTGTTTCAAGTTCAAAGGATTTCAGAAGTGAGTTGGATATTTAGGTGTCTGAAGGACAGATTGTAAAGATACCTGTGTAACAGATAGAGGTTTAATGGTCTAGGCTGCCTCTTCAGTCAGTAGAGAGAGATTGTCATGTTCCAGATATGTTCAGTTTTCTTAGGCTTTTATCTTCAGATGGGAATTTATCAGCTGATCGTCTCAGCAAGGCGTTAACAAGGTATCTGTAGTTAATCATTACCGTCATCTGCTAATTCCAGTTCCCTCTGCTTCAGACCAAGGGGACATTTATGAAAGCTACCTAGTATGTAGGCATTTTGGGCAGAAAGTGACCACATCCAAAGAAGAGATTCCCACCTATGCAGTCTTGCTCAACCCTAGAAATTGAGCTGTTGCTGGTTGTGTAAAAGGAGAGATTCAACAGGATTATCCGCTCTCTGCCAGCCATGTGCTAAGTGAAAATCAGCACTAGAGGACCTCACTCAAAGTCCCAAATGGCTTCTGGGGCATGAAGGCTCCAAAACATTTGGCCCAACATAGTCAAGACAGTTTGGCTTCTGGACATGCTCAACAGAAGCATTAAGGCTGCCTCAGTAAGTGCTCTGGTGGAGGGCCCAGTGGTTAGGGGAGATCATTTACGTGCTGTTGGGCCTCTCCACTCCGTCCACATGGAACTGTGGACACCTAACTGCAGGCTTAGATCCAGTCCTTTGTCCTCTATGGACTTGAACTAACAGGTAGAAGTAACCAATTCATTCTATCCAAATGAAGGTCTGGAGTTAGGGTCCAATATCTGGAATTAATGAGTGGCCTGGTTTTCTATGGCTTTGGATCTTGTGGCTGAATTGCCCTGTGTCTAAGAAGGTATGAGGTCTATTTCAAGGTTTGGCTGTGGTTGGGAAACTCCTCAAAATGTTTGTCTCTGGGGATTCTCTGGTGACTAACAAATACAATGAAAGAGTTGTACTTAGAGGTGTGAAAATTACTGAAAAGAAAATTGGTTTTGTTTTACCTCAAACCAGGACATTTTTGTTAAGAGCACTACAATTATTTCCTGTGCTGCCTTCTTACTTTCTCAATATTTGTGGAATTTTATCTTTTATCTCTTAGTTCTCTAGTAGGTTAACTTGAAATGTGCCAACAGGTTCAAAAGTCTTTGGTATGGGGAGAGATGATAGATAGATAGATAGATAGATAGATAGATAGATAGATAGATAGATAGATAGATAGATAGATAGATACAGGCTGACATGTAGTTCTTTCCTCAGAAAAGTAAAATTAAAAGGCCATAGTGTCTGTCATATGAAGCTTACTGTATCTCTAAAGGATGAGCAAAACACAAGAGGGGGGGTATGATATGTTAAGGACTCATGTCAGAGCGATCGGGGATTTCTTTTAGCAACTTGATGAGGCCCCTAGTCAAGTTTGCCACTATCTACACTGCTGGGGTCTACTGACATGAGCTTGCCCACAGTATGATGCAGGACTTAATATCCTTACACTTTCCATTGCCTCATTTGCTTAGTTATGTATTATACACTCCACACGGGTTCTGTAGGGAAAAGAGAAATAAAGATGAGAATAAAGATGAAATGAGAGGACTGCCATTTTTTCCATAAAGAGCAGATTGCAAGAGTGTGGCATTTTTCCCACACATCTTGAATAGTTTGGGGCTTGGGCTTTTTGAGGAGTTTTTAATTAATTTATTGTTTAAGTAACTGTAATGAGAAGAGCCCCTGCCACACTGTTTCTAATGAGGATTGTATGGGCTCTGTGTCTTTCTCGTTGTGGCCTGTATCATTTAAATATCTTAACCAACATGTGCTGTGGCAGATTTCACTTATATCTGCTTAAATTAAAGCTTGTCAGTTTAGGAGCTAAGAAACATGCAAATATTTGAGAGAGATTTGACATTCACTGCTGAAATCATTGCACTAAATATCTGGCATCAATGACATTACTTGAGAAGGGTTAGAAATTCTTGCTGTGTTATACAGGCTGGACATTCTGGACTTAAAGAAGAAAAATGTCCTTCACTTTCTGTGTTTTTAATTAGGATCTCCATCGAAATTTCAGCTTGTTTTTCTTCTGTATTTTCTCTGAGCAATATGTGACTGTTCAAGTTCCTCAAAGTTGCTGCTAGGAGAACAAACAGTACCAATATCTCAGAACTAGTTGGAGTAATAGCACGATTTAGCTGTAAAAGGAATGGTATTTCCTTATGTTCTCATCCCCCAGAAATGCAAGGGAAGATGGCGCTGAGCTGGAAGAGTCTGATGGAACCTTGGATGATTGAAAAGCTCCAGCAACAGGAGATGAAGCTTAATTTCCCATGTGTGTGTATTCTTTCTTCTTACGGGTCACTGTACCAAAACACAGTACGTAGTATGTACGGCAGTGTACAGCATGCAGGCTTCTCTGCGCTGGAAGTTACTTGCTTGTTGATGCACTGAAGTCAAACTTGGGTATTAATACAGAGGTATTACACATCAAAGTTTAATCTAAACTGTAATGTACTTGTAGTGGTACTTAATTGGCCATAACAAAAGGGACCAGAACCAAAATATTCCAATACTGAGAGAGAGTCCTTGCTACCGAATGTAGAGTTGCTTTCTTTTCTCATACAGGATCAGTGAATATGCAGTAGGCAAACAATTTCAGTGCAGGTAGGATCATGGGATAATTCAGATTGGCAAACACCTCAGGAGGTCTCTAGTCCAGCGTCCTGCTCTAAGCAGGTTCAGCCATGAGGTGAGACCAGGTTCTCAGGGCTTTATCCAAGTGGGCCTTGAAAACCTCCAAGGATGCTGCACAACCTCTGGGCAACCCTGGGTGGGTTTTTCAGGTAGAAAAAACCACAACAATGTCCTTATACCCAGTCTAAACTTCTCTTGTTTCAATGTATGCTTTGTCTTCCCACCATTCACCACTGTGAAGAGCTTAGCTCTGTCTTGATGAACCTCCTTACTCAGCAATGGAGTGCTCTGCTGACCACAAACTTCTGGTGACTGAGGTGCATAGAGGAAGCCCAGATGGCGTTCTGACATCTTAGATGGTATAAAGGCAAGTAATGGATGTTAAATGCAGTGTTTCCTCTCCCTAAGTCTGTGTATTGGCCTACTCCCTCAGTTGCACTGTTTCTTTCAAAGCTTTTTTTTTTTTTTTTTGGCTCAGCCTCAGACTGATGTGTGTCCTACTGCTCAAAGATTCTGAGAGTTGGGGGAGGGAACGTGTTGTTTGATCTGTATTGGTTTATCTTGTTTGCGATTAGGCACAGAAAAAAACATCACTTCCCACAGGGGCTTTCAGTGTCCCACTTTACACAGTTTACTCCCTATTTCCTTTTGGATCTGACTTCTAGCCTTAATCATCTGTAGCTATAACTTGGCAGTTTCAGGCTGTATTCCTTTAATGTTTCTTATTTATTGTCAAACTTTGGTACAAGCCCTGAGCACATCCTGCTCTGCGTGGTCTCGTCAGAGCCATGGGAGAAGAGTCATGAACTCAGGTCCTGGCTCTGCTACCTGTTCACTCACTGAATTTCACTGAATTTTTAGAGTTGGAAGGGACCATAGAGATCATCTAGTCCAACTCCCCTGCCAAAGCAGGGCCACCCAGAGCTTGTCAGAGCACGTTACTCAGGACTGCATCCAGGCGGGTCTTGAAAATCTCCAGAGAAGGGGACTCCACACCCTCCCTGGGCAGCCTGTTCCAGGGCTCTGTCACCCTCACCATGAAAAAGTTCTTCCTCATATTCAAGTGGAACCCTTTATGTTCCAACTTGTGCCCATTGCCCCTTGTCCTCTCACTGGCAACTGCTGAAAAGAGTCTGGTTCCCTCCTCCCTCAGCCCGCCCTTGAGATACTTGTAGGCATTAATAAGGTCTCCCCTCAGCCTTCTCTTTTCCAGACTAAAGAGTCCCAGCTCTTTCAGCCTCTCCTCATAAGGGAGATGCTCCAGTCCTTGAATCATCTTTGTAGCCCTACGCTGGACTCTTTCCAGTAGTTCCCTGTCCCTCTTGAACTGGGGAGCCCAGAACTGGACACAGTATTCCACACTCGCAGTTGTGTCGGCTCCAATTATTGTCCCTTGCACCTGACATACAGCCCGCTGCCATGTCCAGGTAACTGGTTTTGAAGAGCAGAAACCTGCCCATTCACCAACTGAGCTCAGCCTAGGTGAAGGTCAGATTTGTCATGCAGAGCTGTTTATAATTTGAGTGAAGCTGCAAAGGAAGCAGTGAGGGAGCTAGAGTTGATAGAGCTGAGGCAGTTTTTGTAGCCCATGAGCTTTCTTGGTGTTCGAACTCAGGAGAGGTCCAAATGGAGGTGTTGTTCAATCCAGCAGAAACCATATGGAGGAGTGTGTTTCTTTACCCTGAAAT